GTCCTCCACAACTAGACTGAAGAACAAAACGACAGCAACTTGTCTGTTCCCCTTCCCCCCAATTCCCCAGCAATGTTCCCATCCCCCAATTCCCCAATAAAAATCTTTTTTTAAAAAAAAGAAGTGCTTAACATAAACATGACCTTGTTATAGTGGAGCTCCACTCCTAAGAGGGAGGGGTGTGGGAGCTATAGGTCCAGCAGGGCACATTAGGGGCCAAAATGAAAAACTATCTTTGAAACATGCAAGTACTGGGGCCTTTGAAACACCAATGGAGGGCCGGTCGAGTGGCTCAGTTAGTTAAGAGCTCTCTCAAGAGTTTGAGCTCTGAGCAACAGCGGTTCAATTCCCGACCCGAGCTGAGCTGCCGCTGAGCTGCCAACAGGTGGCAGGATGACCCAGCCAAAAAAAAAACAAAAAAAAACAAAAAAAAATCAATGGAAGCCTTCCAATCTCAGGCTTTGGTTTAAGGCTTGCATAAAATCAAATGAATTTGCCCAGAATCTTAAGAATTATAAGGGGGTAGGAGGCCAGGAAGAACAGAACTGTGTGGACAATGCAGGGGACACAGTGGACGCCTGGCATTTTTCTTGGCTGCTAAGGTCTGAACCCCCTTCCTGGGCTAGGATACCCCAGGAGGGACAGCTGTGACTTGCAGCTGGGACATAGGACCATGCCTACATCAGACACTGACTCTGGGCTAGATTCAGGAGCTGGCGTCCCAAAGAACCAAGGCCCACAGAGAATTCCCTCTGGAAGCTGCATCCTTGTAGCTGGATAGAGTCCTCACAGCAGTGGGATGCTTGTTCAGGGTCCAGGACCTGAGGGTCAGCAGTACAAGCTGCAGCCTCTGGTGTGTGGCCGAGGTGACAGCTGCGGTGTCCTCAGGGGACCAGGCTACCTTGTGAAACAGAGAACTTGAGATTAGTTTTGTTTTGTTTTTTGTTTTAAACAAAAGAAAACAATGATCGGCAAGGCAAGCTTTATGTCCTAAACACTGGCTGCCGACCAACGGCCTTAAACTAGAGAAGAGAAACGGTTCTCCTTCTGGAAGCAGACATCCTGGAGGGGAAGGGAAACGGGAGGACAGCTTTGGGGGCAGGGGTGAGGGTGAGGGGATGGAGGGTAGGGAGGGGGCACCTGGGGCCCAGTGGTGCCTTTTAGGGAGGGACTGTGGTGTGACCCTCTGAGGGCTGTTTTTGTAGTTTTCCATCCCTTTAAGGAGTCCTTGATGAGCTGGTGTG